AGAATAAAAGTCTATTATATTACTGGTTGTATTTTCAGTGAGAATTCCACTTGCGAAACTTAGAGTAACAGAAATGTGTTCATCATGTCTGGAAAGGAAGCTTATTTTTTTCAACTGTGAGTAATAACACAAATACTTTTTTTCATTATTTATTATTATACAAGTGAAGAAAAGTGGGAAAAGAAAAGAAAACTGAAATTTTGAATAGTGAACATTCGAGAAGTTCACATCATGATCACCTTGACTAGTAACCTGAATCAAATGTCAGTTAAACGCGAAAAACAACGAAACAAAGCGAATAAATGAAAAAGAAGAAGGAGAAGACGGAGGAAGAGGAGAAACGAAGTGACCACCACTGAAGAAAAAGAAGATCAGTTAAGAGTGTTTATCAGCATTCCTCAGTGATATCCACACATAGATAGTTACACATTAAAGGAATAAGGACTGTACATTATTTCTATCTGTATATTTTAATTATACTTATGCATGTGAAGATATATGTAGATGATGTTGTTGTTGTTTTTTTGTTGTTGTCTGGACGACTGACTGGATGAGTGAATAAATAAGGTGTATATCTGAAAGACATTTGGTGAGAAGCTGGATTAATTAATTCTTCGACTGTTTTCTTTCTTCTATGCGTATGGTGTTGGGATTACAGGAGTAGAAGACAACTGATGACAATCAATAGAAGCCTTTGTTTAAACTGGCACTCGCCGAAGGAGAAAGCAACTAAAAATAAAATGAAAACAGAAAACGTATTAACATAACAATAATAATACTTAAAGCATTTATGAGTGTCACTCGTGCCAAAGTATATTGTTCAATTATCCATTACCCCTACCTATAGAAGAGACATTGTCCTCATTATAATTCATATGTGTGTAGGAAGGCATCCTATTGCAAATCAAAACGTCATACATCACTAAAGTATATACTTAGCAAAATTTTATTCCACTGAAACAGTTTTATTGTTGTAAACCTTAACAGATTTCCATATATTACTGTAAGGCAGTAAGTTTCAGTGGGGTAAAAACAAAACAGAAGTGGGTTAAGAAGCATTTAGACCTTTTGGTTGGACGCTAGTCAGTAATTAGTGTAATGTGTCTAGTCCTATCGTTAGTGAAGACTGAATTCTATCAGTCAAGTTTACAATGTGGTCACCATGCTAGGTGGCTCGCCATCATGGTCCATTGTGAATTGTCGGTATTAGATGGATGGAAGCGATCGGCAGAAAGCCTTAGGCCCAGGTTTCGTGCTATTTGGCACTCACCGCTCATCAAGGAGTATCTGCAATCTCAAAGGAACTCATATCCCTTCTGAGATTCGAACCCGCGTCACCCAGTGCTGCAATCGAGATTGCAGATACGCCTAGCTGACGAGTTCCAACTGGCACGAAACCTAAGTTCAAGGTTTCTTGCCGATTACCTCCAATCATCTAACGCCAGCATTTAAACCTTGTTTCAAATCAGACAAGTAAGTAATAAATGCATTTCAGCAGTGGTACTTAAAGCTTCGATCAACAATGCTAAAAGTACACAAATATTAGGTATAATTTTTTATACTACTTATAAGTAAACTAAGAAATATTGCAAAAACTAGAGATGAATCATTAATCAGATTTGAGACATCCCCATTTTCTGACCCGTTTAACGTAATTTAGTTCAACTGTTTAAGAATGAATTTGAAGACAAATTTAAAGCAGACTGAAAGAAGTGGGGCTTCTTGGCAGTACATCAGCTTCATTCCTCTCAGGAAGATTAACAAACATGCAGCATCATAAGAAATGTATTTTATAGTAAGTATAGGTGATAGGAATTTTCGCAGTTGGTTACGCCGTTCACAAAGAGTATGACGATGTTGTTCACCCAATATGAAAACATAGAATGTAAGTGAGCGAAATTAAGCATTTGGTCTACAAAAGATGCTGATGTCGTCTTAAGACAAATTCGAAGTTATTTCCTATGCTTACTAAAAACACCAAAGGATACAATTTTCTCTCTCCTAAAGCTTCTTCGAATAGTACTAATTGGATTCAATGAATACATATGGATAAACAGTAGTGTAATTTTAAAGTGATCACGGAATCTAGGAATCTTTTTAGGTAGTATTCTGTTTCCGTCAGTTTCCAGAGTGACTATTATATTCAGTTGGTCATTTGTACATCATCCGTCATATGACATTCAAAGATATTTCCGAATGATTTTGATGTGGTTGTGTTCTCTGAGCTGGATAGTTAATTTGCGAAGCTTTCATCGCCCTACTAGGCGACATCTTCAGCGCATACTTCAATTTTAAGTGAGCTTTTAGATTTCTCCACGAGTTTATTAATCATCTCTCCTGGTGACCTTGGACGTGATTGGTTGTTTTTGTGTGTTTTCACACTTTCTAGGTTATTTGTATTGTAACTCATTGTTTTTTTTCAACTTGAACTTTGACCCTTTGTGCGTGAAGCTTCTTTCTTATCGGTTGATAAATTTTGTCTATCTCGATGTGTCTATTGATTGATGATTCAGTGAATCATCAAAGTTCAATTCAAAAAAAAACAATGAGTTACAATACAAATAACCTAGAAGGTGTGAAATCACACAAAAACAACCAATCACGTCCAAAGTCACCAGGAGAGATGACTAATAAACTCGTGGAGAAATCTAAAAGCTCACTTCAACAAATTGAAGTATGCGCTGAAGATGTCACCTAGTAGGGTGGTGAAAGCTTCGCAAATTAACTATCCAGCTCAGAGAACACAACCACATCAAAATCATCCACCTGAGCTACAAATCTTCTCTATCATATCTATATTTCCGAAAAAGCAGTAATAAAATACTAATATCAGTCAGTGTTAGCGACACACCTTGTCGAATTAGAACCAATCATACTAACTGACAGTGCATATACGATTCCACTGTCCTCAAACCTTTCTCTCGAGAAGGCAAAAAGTTGCCCTTTGTGTGCTTATGAAGGAAAACCTCACTGGAATATAGTTATTATAATCCTTTTCTAACGGCGAACATATGAAGATTCAAATAGTTGTCGACATTAATTTGGAAAAGCTTGCCAACTAGGAAGCACTGAACAGCTATATCATCTTAGTTTGGAAATCCTCAACAGTATTTACCCGTGAACCCGTTAGCGATTGGACCTTTGGGTTATCAGTTCGCAAGGCGAGAATATCTCCACTTAGCCAATGGGTTGAGATCCGAAGATCCATAATTTCCAAATTCATCCAATTCATAATCATTTAAAAGCTCTTTTAAATGATGATGGACTTCGTTCACCAGTGGTATTTGTCCCTTAAGTTAGTTGGAACGTGTCACTAAACTGTATTCCTGTGGTTGTATGTGATAGTATCCAGTTATAAGCTGAGATGCCGTGAATTTCAACTAAATAGCATTTGTACATGTATACACACACTGCCGAGGAGCTCGTAAGGTAACAATAAAGCTAAAGTGAAACTGATTTCCAATATCTCTTGCTATTCATTCTTTTATGTTGAATCTAAATCACTTCCTGTATCAAATTACATTTGCACAATTTATTCATCTTTTTAATAAGTTTTTCCTTCAGTTATTTTCATCCACCTCTTGTAAGTAGCAATGATGTTTGCGATATGTAAACAGATAAACAATGAATCATCCTCTTTTGGTGACATGGTGATCAAGGTCAATCTGGAAATAAGCCACTCAGAAATGGCCCACGTAAAATAATGCCCGTTGTTTTATTGATCATGATTATAGACTAATTTCAAATCTTTAAATATTCCCATTTTTAATATTAGAACAAGATATAAAAGCGAACAATATTGTTTTCAATTAAATCTTCTTCAGGCTTTACTCTAATTTACATAGATTTATATATAAAAACTTCTAATCAATTACGGTGATTTGGTGGATCAAATAATAGTGATAATAATGATAACAATAATAATAATGCGGTTAATATTTTGAACGTAGTTAATAACGACGATTATAATGATAACAAAATATTGATAATAAGGTTTATGCAGGTGGCGATAAGAATAACAAAGGTAGTAATATATGTATATATAGACAATTCAATAAATAAATTCGGTCAAATCTTAAAAGTTACGTAATACTAAAGGTAGGTGAAGTGGGCAGATAATCAGACTTTAAATAAATATCATAAAAATACGAAGGAAAATAAGAAAGAGTGGTAGGGTTTTGAACAGAGTTCACCTAGGCCAAGCGAGAGACAAAGGTAGAACAAACTTCTTTTGTGTGCAAATACTAAGATTGTTCTCTCAAATTCCCAAAGCTTCGGCTATGTGTAAAAGACGGATTCGAATTCCTTTCGAAAGGCTCGATAGAATGCGATAGATAACTTTGAAGGCACTATTTTTGTCCACTTGGTGACCGCTATCAATCAAATGAGCCAAAATAGAACTTCTTCTAGATTTTATTTGACCTTTTCCGAACCATGAAGGAAGATGCTCATTAATGCGTTTGTTAAGCTGTCTAGTTGTTCGCCCAATATAGCTCTCTCCACAGGAGCAACTAAATTTATAGGTACACATAGAAGTGGCACAGCTAGGTAGCTTGTCTTCCACTTGAGCAATCATAATTGGTCGGCTGGAAAATGACAAAAAAGGGGTGGCGGCAGAATAAGTCCGTTTTATCGCTCTCGATAATCTCAGATGTAACACTTTGCTAGCCACGTCCCCATTAAACTGCAATTTCATGAACAGTTGTTTCTTTTCAACTGTTGTCAGTTCCTCTTTATTGTACTTGGTGTTCATGTGTCTCCTTACAAATCTAATAGGATAACCAATTTGGACCAGCGTATTTTGGATGTATCCTAACTCATTTTGTATTTCGTATTTTTATGTTATTTATTTAAAGTCTGATTATAAATTATAAATTCAGTCATTAAAAAAAAATTTACTCTATTAGTACTATTACTACTAATGATTCTGTCCAAAAGTAAAATTATGTAACTTACCTAAAGAGAAATAATATAGACGCTATTTTTGATGTATGACTTGATTATTTCACATTATCATATTGACACATATTTAATGCATTTCTAGCTGATGAATTATTCTCATTCAAAAGATTTTGTCTTTGTTGATTACGTCCTTTAGCTCGACGATTTTTAAACCAAACTTGTACTCTTGACTCTGGTAGGCGTAGTTTCAAGGCTAATTCTTCACGGACATAAACATCAGGATATCGTGTTTTTGCGTATAATTCTTCTAACATTAATAATTGATGTCGTGTAAAAGTGGTTCGTTCACGTCTTTGTCGACGAATTTGATTACCTGAATTAAAAAATAATATTTTTTTGTGAGTGATTTTTTTTTCTTCAAAATACACCTTTTTTTTCTAAAGTCCATGAAATATTAAAGTTAACGTAAATTAAAACACTCCAGGACTGAATGATTTCTAATAAAGATTAAAATGTTTATTATGACCTTATAAATGAAAAAATTATCTTACGGATTACATAGTGAATTAAGAAAGATCACTATCTCAACTGGCTAACTACCAGTTAGATGTTTGTTAGACCATCTAAGATAGTCACAGATAGATCTCGTCAGATGAATATGAAAGCATCCGACCAGTAGGCTCCAAAATACCACGTTTGTATGAGCTACCAAAAATTCACAAAACAGGATTATCCTTCTGTCCAATTCTAGATATGGCTGGTTCTCCTTATCATGGAACCAGTTAGAAGGCAAGTGTCTGAGTTTTCCATTGATGATACATTTAAATTTATTGAGATTAATAAAGATTGTAATGCCTCAGACAAAGTCATGTTCTCATTAGGTGTGACTTTGCTATTTACCAATATACCTCTCATGGAAACTGTTTGTTATATATGTTTTTACGAGTTCATCACGGATTGATATCAGTTAGAGAACCATTGAAAACTGGACAGCTGGTGTTTCATCCTAGTTTGAGAATCACCACCAGTACGTACCCACCGGGATTCGAACCCAGGACCTTCCAGTTACAAGGCAAGCTCGTGTACCATTCAGCCACTAGGACCCGATTCAATGGTTCATGAATTCTAACTTCTACCAATTCGTGATTTAGCGCGACCCCAACCATCGTCGTTGGTGGGACATTCATCCACACACGTGACATTTAATTGGACTTCAATGGTCACGACTTCTCACTAGAATTCCAGGAAACTCCATCCTGTAGCAAGTCACTAGCGAGCATCAGATTAATTTTCTACAGTTTGGTTTGTAAGGGTTTGTTATGTTTTTACGAGTTCATCACGGATTGATATCAGTTAGAGAACCATTGAAAACCAGGGAGTACTGGACAGCTGCTGTTTCATCCTAGTTTGGGAATCATCGGCAGTATTGATGCGCAAAGAACTTTTATTGAGATGCACGTTCACCTTAAATAATGAGATTTTTAGACAGATAGATGGCATTGCGATGGGATCACCACTGGCTCACTGCTGGCTGATTGTTTTATGGCAAAGCGTGAAAACTCTCAACTCAGTCAAACCATCGGTCATTTCGACATTTATAGAAGATATGTAGACGACACTTTTGTTATCTGCGATGAGAACGTAATTCTTGACGATATCTTGTTTGCATTTAATATTAACCATCCCGCTTTGCAATTCACCACAGAAAAGGAATCTGAACTAAGCGTTCCCTTTCTTGATGTATGCCTTAGTAAACGTAATAATGTATCTCTCAAAAGATCCATCCACTGGAAAAGTATGTGGAATGGACAACTAAATAATTTTTGTAGTTGAGTGCCTAAATCCAGAAAATGGAACTTAATTCATTCGCTCTGCTTTAGGATAAGAGGCATTTGTAATTCTCATTGCGTCGACTCAGAACTTGCCTTGCTAAAAGCCATGCTCTCAAAAAATGGTTAATCTGACCGATTTATTGATAAAAACATGAAAGATAACAGTCCAAACTGGTTACTGACTCAGTTCCAAAGAAAACTATATTCATGAACTTAGAATTCAAAGGTGATCAAGCTTCAGATATGCTCAAAAACCATCTCTTTAAATCAGTCAGTAAGACGTTCTTTGCTGCAAAATTATAAATGACGTTTACCAGCCGTAAGTTGTTCTCCGTCTCTGTAAAAGATAAGCTCCCTCGTCTGACCACCTCCATGGGCATCTATCAGTTCACCTGCTCTCGCGGAGCAAGGTAAATTGGCCGTAGCTAGAGAACGCTTTCCACACGAGTATGAGGATATATTCCATCATGGTTTTACAAGGGGGAAAGGAAGGGTGTGCGAAGCTCTGTTGTAGAATACCTGATCGACTTCTGTCATTCTACCAACCCTGATCATGATTTTAAGATTATCTGTCAAATTCATGCTAACTTGCCGGATTTTCTTCGTTATAAACTTCTAAAGACAGCAGAGGCCTTGGCCTTTCATGAATTTGAGCCAGACTTTTGTGTACAAAGGAAGTATGTACAATCTCTGCTTCTACCTTGGCTGTAGAGGGATAAACATTTATTTATTCTGTTAATTTAGTTAATCTATGTACCTTTCCCTCATTACTACAACTATTACTATTATTAATATTCTTACCTTGAATTATTTTCACTTGTCCCACTTGTTATTCTAAATCCAAAAATATTTTCGCAATGTTGGATTCTATATTATCAAATTTCACACCATGTTATGTGACGTTTTATATTAGCCTACTAAATCTATAATTATACACCCCTTTCCAACATCTATACATCTTATGAATTATTTTATATATGATATTGTTTTGTCAATTGACATTTTGCTCTAATTATGATCACAAATATTTTAGGATTTTATCATGAACTGACATCAGTTAGAGAACCTTCCCTACAAACCAACACTTGAAATCAATCTGATGCTCACTACTGACTGGTCCTATTCAGGTAGGTAGTTACCTGGATTCTAGTGGGAAGTCGTGACCAGTGGGGTATAGCAGGTTGAGAATGAGGACAGATACATTGGCTAGTGGTCGCACCAGAAGTTTGAATTCATGGGCTGGTTACTTAGTAGGGTCCCAGTGGCTGAATGGTCAAGGAGCTCCCCTTGTGACTGGAAGGTGGTCGGTTGGAACCCTGAACGAGGGTGTGTACTGATGGAGAGTCCCAAATTGGGATGAAACGGCTGTCCAGTACTCCCTGGTTTTCAGTGGTTCTCTAACTGATATCAATCCGTGGTCAGACTCGTAAAAACCGTTGGTATCGTGGACTACATCACAAAAGGATTTCTGTATAATAATAATAATAAGGAAAATAAATTCGAAAAAGGTGGAAAGCTCCAATAGTCCTTAAAAACTTTAAACGCCCCTTCTAGTTAATCTTACTCTCTCCTAAAATGTAACACTAAACCGACAATATTAATTTCCTGTGCTGACTGGGGCTCTGATCTCTGTCATATACACCAAACTATAATTTATTTTGACCCATTACAAGCTAAAATATGATTTGGTCACCAAAGAAAAAAATTAAAGACTGTTGAACTAAGAGATGGGATTAGTTTATGAAATCAACTCTACAACTGAACACTTCAAAAGCCGAATGCAGTACTGATGAAGCGACAGCTCATAAGGGAATTGTGCCAGCTGAATAAGTAAGCCAGTTATCAAGCTTACCTTTGTTTTTACATCTATTCACTGTTTGTTTCATTCATGACTCGAATACACTGAGTGACAGAAGTTTACTGGTAGTATCTAAATTTTTGAAAATTGTTAAAGTCGAGCGGATTACAGTAGCATCTTCAGTTGTCATGAATGAGTCTTTAGCCAGACACTATATATATGTGTTAACATGTACCCATTTTACTTTCAAAAAGAAATGCCAACGGAATCTTGGCTATCTGAACTTAATCCGCCCATGTTAACTGCTGACCTCTATCCGGAATGGAAAAACGTGCCTTCTGTGATTTACATTGTGTTGAGCTGGCTAACCAACACTACTGGTTGACGCAAGTGATTTTCAACTAGCGATACTAATTTTTCTGCTAGCTTTAATCCAAATTCGACAAATAGTAGATCATAATTTGTTTTTTCAGCATTTTGAATAACAAAGGAAATCACGGTGGACTGTTCCTACAAGCTTAGAATTTCGCATAAGAAGTTCACATCTTTACTGCAGTTATCCAGTGCCGAAATTAAGGAAATGAAATCACATTCAAAGTACCGTCAGTACTTATATGTTCCATCCAGTCTGTCCCACCTGATATACAGTCAGAGTATATACTTTCCACATTTAATAATAATAATATAGAGTACTGGATGACACTGGTAAGGAGCTGTGTTCCAGAAACAGATGCGTATTTACCAGACTTTTGATTTTAGGCAGTTTTTCAAATGGTATCAGTTCGATAGTGAGACTGTCTCAGATAGTCTTCAGTTATTAGACTGTTATGTATGTACTGAGTGTGATCGAAGATGTAGTAAAAATCCATATCGTCTAGTGAGACGATCAGTCCAGACTAGTAATTTAAAGGTTGCTGATCCAATCATGCTGCCACCTAGATTTTAATCCCATCCTTAATCAACACCCAATACATAAATATTAACAACAAGGTTTAGAAAAACGTCCACATTCAAGTAAATCACTTCCATACTGACTGATAAACTGAGAGTATAGAGTGAGTTGTGCTTCGGTGGCACAGCGGTAGAATGCTCGCCAACAACGCAGGTGGTTCGGGGTTCTATCCCCGGCCGACGCACTCCTTTACCTCGCTAAACCAGTAGTAAGACTGGTAAGGAGGGAAGGTTGGGTATGAGGCTAGTAACCTAATCCTGTAAAAAAATAATCATCACTGCTACATAAACTTCAAGCCTCTCTCTTGAAGCCCTATTTTCCACTGGGAACGTGAAGGAATAAGAAAAAAAATAGGGTGAGTGATTTGACTAACTCCTTAGGTGACGATATTCCAATTATGATATGTGCATAAACAATATTATCCAGTGAATAATAATTTTAAATTGCCTAATATGTAGAGCGAACCAGTTTGCACCGGGTTGTGCAGTACAACATCGCCTAAGTTCTACTGTTGTGATAATGTATTACTTATAGACAGCGTTGTGTCTTTGACATGACCAAAATTTTTATCTAGGCCATTGGTTTACTAAGTAGGTGATCAATCTGAACTGCTGCCTACGAGTGTATATTGTTCTTACAGTAATTTCATTCTCCTGCGCTTGACAGGATGAACATAAGACGGCCTAACGCTGGCAGTGGGGTGGCACAATAAACAGAGATGATTTGGAAAACACTTACTGCTTACTTAAGGAAGAAACGAAGCTACGAGTTAAACTGCAATCTATTTATGC